TGGCTTTTCCTCAGTGTTTTTCTAAACATTTCTTTTATGCTGGTGGTGGTTTTTTTTATTTCCAAGTGAATTCTTTATACAAACATGATCATTTTGGATGGCACTGTAAAAGACTTTTGACTTTTTTCTTTCTTAAATTTTTATAGTGTATATATTAAAGGCATACTATCTTAAATTAGAATGTAAATACAATTCCTTGTGTTTCTGGATTTTTGAGGACCTCAGAGTAGTGAATTGCTTACCACAGGTTGTTTTTTTATTTTTTTTTTTAAATCCGGAGTCTATTCAAGACCATGGGGTGACTTAAAGATTCTTTAATACACAATAGAGTCATGACAAATCAAAACTACCAGGAGCTACCAGCCATATCTCTGAGAATGGTTCACATATAAAACAACCTAATGCAAGCAATTTTTGAGAGGATGTAGAAGAATAGAAATCCTAGTACACTGTTGATGGGCATGTAGACTGGTACAGCCACTATGGAAAACAACATGGAGGTTCCTCAAAACATTAAAAATACTGAATAGCTCTACCATATAATCTAGCGATTCTACTCCATATAATCTAGCAATTCTACTTCTAGTAGAATCGGATATAAAAATACAAAATCACTAATTTAAAGGACATAACCATTCCTAAGCTCACATTATCACTCTTTACAATAGCCAAGTATGGGAACAACCTAAATGCCATAAAAAACAGCAGATTAAAAAGATATGGGGTACACACACACAATAGAATATTTCTCAACTATATCAAAGATGAACTCTTGCCATATGAGACAATGTGGATGGATCTGGAGAGAATTATGCTAAACGAAGTGAGAAAGAGAAAGACAAAGGCTGGACAATTTTATTCATATGTAGAATAAGATGGGGGGGGGAGGAACTTTCAAAACCAAAACAAACCCTAGAGCTGAGGCTGCTAGAAGGACAGGAGTGGAAAAAGGGAGAAAAGAGAGCCCCCTAGCTTAAGTTAAAGGATTGTGAGTGCCCTGATGCTGGGAGTGGTGTGTAACATAAATCCGAGGAGATGTGAACCTTTCCCCCTAAATTGTTTATGTTACTGTAAGTCAAAGCTTACTTCAATAAAGAAAAAAATAAATAAAATAGAAGCATGAGCTCTTTGCAGTATCAAGTTACTAGATGTTTGATATTGAATTATCAAATTCATTGATACAAGTTCAATCTGAATATTCTCTTTGAAAATTGAGCAAACACTGTAATAAGAGATATATTTTCTTCCATAAATGTATCTGTCATAAAAATCTGTCCATTGCATAGCTTCACCTTTCCCCTACTTTGCAGGGTACTTGTAAGGTACTTGATAACTTTTTTATAAAGTTTAACTCTTATAGGTTACATTTACACTGAAAATGAATATGAGTTCTAGCTTATGCAGTAAGTTTATGAACCTCCCAGTAATTTTTGTATGGTAAGACTCTACCATCTGAAGAACTAATTTTCTTTTGAAAAGCCAGCACATCATGTTTTGCATGATGTGAATTTGGAAAATGTTCTTTTGATGAATAAATTAAAATCTGGATATTGTCACTGGGGGGAAATAATATTTTCTAAAACTGGAAGAGGGTGCTTTAGACATGATGTTCATGACTTAAGACAACATTTCCTGGTGGAAAGGGAATTTGGAGCAAAGTATTATGTCAAATGCCAGTGTAAGTAAGAATTTTAGTTTCTTGGGTACTATAAATTGCTGAATGCAAGAGTTTGAAAAATTCTGTACTTAACCAGTTCCCATTCTGCTATATGCGCTCCCCTACCCCAACATCTTGACATTTCTCATCAGTGCAAACAGATTCATGTTCAATGTGTGAAACAAAAAAAAATACATAAGACTTTCCATATTTTTACACTGAAAAGTTTTTACAACAGTTTGAAATAATGGATATATAGTAAATAGGCAACTCCACATTCATAGTTTCCTTTTGCTATGAATTCTCTGAGGTGGAATAAAAGGCATGTGCTTTTCAAATGTGAGCATTTCTGCATCTGCATAGCTCATTGCCACATATCTGAAACCAAAACATGTGTCATAGTTTTACATCTGCAAAAACCGATCAGTCCTCCTTGGGGTTTCTCCATAAAGAAGATCAAAAAGAATAAACAGCTTGCAAATTGGCATACACAAAATGGAAGGGTGACCCCATGCACATTTGACTCAACTCATGTATTTAGAAATTACTTATCTCACTGTTCTTTGGCCCTTTCCCTTTGCTGGTGCTCTCATCACCCAAACCTCTAAATGTCCTAGCACTTAGTGTTAGACTTCCTCTGCCGGCCACATTCCCCAGGTGATTTCACTTAATCTCATGGTTTCAAGAACTATTTGCTAAAGGTCTGCAAGCTACAGCTACAGTCTGCATCTCTCTCCCGCGACTTTCATACTCACATTCCCATTGGGGGTAAAACGGAGCTCCCAGTCAATACCACTTTTAAGCCTGCTTCTTCTAGTCTTTTCCACTAAAAAAGCAAACTTCATTCTTCTAACTGCTCTAGCCAAAATTCTTCATACATCCAATTCATTGAGCAATTTCTACTCTTGAGTACATTCAGAATCTGGTTTTTCAGTCCTTCCACTACTATTGTTACAGCTTGTATCATCGCTTGCCTAGTTTATCACAATAGCATCCTAATTAGCTCCTGAACTCTTCTCTTTTCCAGATTAGAGGTTAAAGCCCCAACGGTAACCAACAAGACCTTCATCTGTTGCCACCAACAAGACCTTCATCTGTTGCCAAAGAGTTCAATGATGACATCTACTGCTTTCCCCCTTGTATATTCTGTTCTCTCCTCACTGGCAACTAGACTATTCCTGGAACATTCCAAGCATATTCCCCCTTTATACAAGGTGCTCCCCTGGGTGGAACCCCTCATCTGCAGGTGCCTTACATACCTTACTCCCATTCTTTTATCAGACCTTCACTCAAATAACACTTAACATTCCTTGGTCAACTTAGCTGAAGTTATAATTCCTTAATAATTACTATTCCCATCACCCACTATTTTTTCTGTGTACTTATCACTATTTAGTCCAGTATACATTTTACTTTTTATTCGCATTTATTGTGTATCATTCCTCAACAGAATGCAAGCTCCACAAAGATTTTATCTCTTTTTCTCTAGATGCCTAGAACAGCATCTAGCATATATTCGTCACTCTATTTGCTGCATAAGGGAATAGGTTTTTTTAAAAATAAAAAAGTCACAATATACTGCAATAATAGTATATACTGTGAATAATCACCAATAATCTATCTTCCCAATTACATCAGAATCTTCTAAAGCCAGAAATCTTACCTTCACATCTTTTCAATCTTAGAAGCTGGCAAAGAACATTACACACATACCGATTACTCAGATACTGATGGAGGGAATTTTGCCTATGGACAAATCTCTGGGACATAAAAATAGAATCAAATAATTATTAATTCAACATTAGATTGGCACATGTGGAAGAATGGCTCTAGAAGTAATCTTTCCACTCTAGTATTTATGAGCAATAGCATACAATGCTAGTGTAGGACATCTACTCCAAAAGTGATCACAGACTGTCATGAATAATGGAGATGGCTGCTGGACTTAATGTCAAAAACAGAAGGTGGACATTTGGTTCTGGACTAGGTATCTTTGTCACCTCATTTGATTTGCCTTTGAGGCCAGTATCTGAATACTGTTCACTTCTAGCAATTTATTATATAGTTCTCTTTTCTATCACATTGTAATAATTTTTCAAACTATACTTCAAAATCAACTTACTTATGGGTCAAAGCTTTGTAAGGAAGCAGCAAATACAACATCAACTAACACTACTAATAATTACAGCAAACCAGTTAAAAGAAGTGACTCTGAACCAGTATAATTCACACAAACTTTGTCTGCAAAATATAAATAGGCAACAATATGGTCACACCCAGACAGGTTTGCAATATTAACTTAGGCTCACACCTAAGTTGGTTTCACCATATGCTAAAGAAGTACTGTGGAAATAAAGTGAGTGGAAAATATGACTTCTCCAAGTATAGCACCTTAGAGAAAATTGTTTGCTAACCTGATTTATTTCTAGAAAAGCAACAACTGTTACAGGATAGAAAGAGAACTAAAGGACTCAAATTTTGATGAGTTCTGAAATCCATTTAGACAATGAAAAAAAATAAAGAAAGGCTAACAAACAAACCAAAATCTGATTTTCCAAAGTACAACACAAATCACAGAATTACCCATATGACCACCACAAAGACAATGATTCTGTTTCATCTACTTGCCAGATGTCTACGACTAAACACCTAGGTTTACCAAGCTAGGCAAATACTACTATAAAGCACCAAGCACTGCCTTCTTCTCAGATTCTGATATTATTTTACTTAATCTTATGTTCCATTAAAAATTATCTGACAGGTCTGATTATCCAACTATCCACTGGTAAGCATGAAAACACCAAAGATAGAAAAATGGATATTGGTGGTAATTCTTTCATAAAGAACAACTCAAGTGGGGATCACTTTTATTTCTCTCTTCTGTCACCCACTCCATCTACAGTATATACAACTTATGTGCAAAATTAGCTCAGATAAATTAGCTCAACTGACATTACGTCATAAAGACAGCCTCAGCAACTGTGTGAGTAGGACATATCCAAACCACTCAGTACTATGTTTCTAGAGACACTGGTTCTCAGTGCTTCAACAAAATCAGTTAATGCTCTTTCAAATTTAGAAGTGAGCAGAAAACTTATAAACAGTACATTCTCCAACTTGTCTAAAACCAGAAATCAATTCTATGTCCAGAAAATAACTTTGTTGCCACTTGGTTTCTATAATAGACAGTTTTAATGGCCTTTAACTCTTGGTTAACATGTCACATTTCAACAGGCTTACTTAACAGGAAATGCAGGATGTCTTCTTGTACTTTGACACTCAATAGCAAGTCCATAAATTACCAGACAAAAGTTAAGAGATTTCTTTCCTTTTATTAGCTTACCCAGTTTAGCAGCGCCCTCTGGTGGGTACTCAGGAAACTGACCCTCGGAAGGGACACTCACAGTTCTCCGCAGGCATCGCCCTTTGGTGGAATCTGTCTGCTGCTCCTGTCCTCCCTCCACAGGTATCTAGTCAACCAAAGGACAAAATGAAAGTTAACAGCGAGCTCATCATCTTTATTTTCTGACTGAATGCTGCTTTCAGTTAAGGAAGGCCGGAGCTTATAATCATCAGAGCAAAGAAGAAATGTAGACAAAGTGCAACATTCAGGTAATGCCACACCCTTTGAGGAAGTTTTTCGTTAAAAAGAAAACGGAAAGATCAAGAATGGTGAGTAAGTAAATTAGCTTACATGAAATATGTACAAATCATATCCAGGTGTGTACCTGTGCTCTGGAAACTCGGAAAGCAAAACAAAATACCCACGCAAACCAAAGATTCATCTACATCAGAAACAGTTCACCAATTCTGATTCTGCTTAATGCTCAACAAGGAAAACAGTTCACCAATTCTGATTCTGCTTAATGCTCAACAAGGAAAACTGGAGGAAAAGTTGACCAGAAGTAAGGTGTTAGATAAAAGGAGCAAAGCTAGACAAGTTTTCTTGAATTTAAGAATCAAGCAAACATAGTTTAAAAAACGCACACATATTTTCAGTGTTTACTTACATAAATTGGCATATTTTTTTCCAGCTCTGAGATTAGTTTTTAAAATTCTATAAAAAAATTTCTCAATGCCCTCCCTTGTGGCACAACGGGTTAAAGCACAGCACTATGAAGCTATCTGTAGTTACTGTAGCGCGAGTTCAATCCCTGGTCAGGGAAGTAACACACATGGTGTGGCAGGTCTCTCCTGTCCTGCCTGCTGCTCCCCTCAGCAGGGTACTTTATTGATTTGCCTGTTCTGCTCCCCACTCTGTCTCTGGTAAATCTACTCACCCCCTGCAGTTCTTACACGCATAAGTAAATAAATCTTTAAGAAAATTTTCTGGCATTATTTGAGGAACATATCAAGTGCTGTGTATGTGGAGTGGGAACTATGAATGCTACAAAAGCTCTCTAATGTCAACAATTCAAAACATTATCAGAGTAAGGAATGACTCTAAGGTTCCTTTTTTCTCCTTGATAATGCTAAATGGCCAAATCATTCTAATTTAGATTTATAGGACAAGGACTTTCACAATGACACATTACTAGTAAACTTTATGAGAAGTGAGAATAGTTTGGTAACATCTTCAAAAATTGGTGCCACAAAGATTGTTACAAACAATGTCACTTTGATTTGGAAAAAAGCATCTTATTCAAATTAATTCAAGCACTGTCACATGTGCAAAAACCTGGTTGGAAGGCCATAAAAAAAACGTTACTTGGTGATTTTAAAAAAAGTTTTGTGTCAATATTCAAATTCCAAGAAATTTCAATAATTTGAGTTCTTGTTAGGTTCTTGTTAAGTACAATGCCAAGGAATTTACATGTGTGACATTATGAGGAAGATTATTGTCATCCCCTTTTTAGAGAGAAGAAATAGTGTGTTCAAATGATTGCAGATTGCAAAGACATGCGTCACATTAACTGATCCATCAAAAGGGAGATGGTTACTGGTTTAATATAAGCCTTCTGCTTTGCTCAGTAATATGACGCCTGTGACTGAGGTCAAGGAAATGATAGCAAGGGAAGTGCTCTGTGTTACTAAGAATCTGAAAAGCAATGTTCGAAAGTCTGTAAGGACTGAAAATTTTCAGTCTATACAAGATCCAAAATCCATTATTTCCTCATTACCATGATTGTGGTTACTTCTTGCATGTCAAGTAAATAAAAGGCAGACTTCTGAAAAATAAGTCTAAAAGGGGGAGACCAAATAACAGTATCACTAAAGACTTGAACTCTTCCAAAAGCACTTTGTAATATAAAACCTTATGAACAGTAATCTAAGTCATCATCCCTTTAAGAATGGAAATTATGTTATGTCTACTTAAACAGGTAGCACCAAGAGGTTAAATGAATCCTTGCTAGTAAGAAAAACAAAATGTAACCCTTATTTGTAGCAATGAATAGGGGTATATTTGGGTCTTTGAACAAAACAATTGAGCCTAGCTAAGTGTAACTTGTTTAGTAATAGCTAATACCTATTATCTAATAAAATGAAGACCTAAGTCATACAGGAAAAAATATTAACTAGTTTTTACATTTTAGGAAGGAATGATCTTGACCTTTTCTTGGAAATACATAAAGTTTATGTATTTAAATAAAAAATGCCTTCTAGTGCCATATATTTTTCTATACCATATCTAAAAAGGAGTATACAGCAAACTTATTTGGGCCTAAAATTCACTTATAGTTATTTTCTCAAACTTTTAATGTAGATTCTGTGTTTTTGTTAAAAATTAAAATATGATCAATGATTTTATTTAAAGTATTGTTCTCAAGATTAGAGCATTGTACTTCTGATTTGGGATATAAGCAAAGATAAACCTGGATTTCTTAAGAATAATTTTTTAAAAGATTTATTTATTTGTGCATACAGAACTGGGGTACAGGCCAGAGGTGCAGCGGTGGTGAGAGGCTTCGCCAGAGACAGAGTGGGGAGCAGAACAGGCCAAGTGACGAAGTATACTGCTGAGGGGAGCAGCTGGTGGGTCAGGAGCAGTCTGCCAGGCCATGTGGGTCACATCTGGGGCAGGGATCGAACTGATGCTAAAGTGGCTTTAGCTTCTCAGTGCTATGCTTTAACCCGCCAACGGGGGCCCTTCTTAAGAATATTTTACACTGTAGTTGTGGCTTAGCTAAAATACTTTTTAAAATATTGTTCTTCTCGTTAAAATTAAAAAGATCATAACTGAAATATCTTTTAACAAACTAAGCTGGAAGTCACAAATCGTAACAATCAGCTAAGTTTAGAAACTCAATTTTAAAAAAATAATCTTATCCATTGTTAATAAAATTTAGCTCACTAGTTCATATTTATTTGTTTATTCCAAATTTCTCTTTAAAAATTGTATGTTCTCCAAGTTATAAAACATGAGAGGGATTTTTTCTTTTCTTTTCTTTTTTAACCTTCCTGACCTGTTCTCCCTAAGTCCTTTCTGTCCTGGGGGGAAGAAGAGGAGAATCAAGCACTTTAATTCATTGCACTGCATTTCAGATGAAGAAAGTAGAACACATTAAAGAGTAAATAGTTCTAAGATATCTAAGTTAAACTAATAACAAAAATCATACCGGATCTCTAAGTCCTAGTCTTCTTTGTTAGTTCTAAACCATCCATGACAATGAAAGAACAACATAACAAAAGTTAATCAGGTTACTAAAAAAACACAGATATATATACAGTTGGCCCTCTACATCCAACCATGGATCAAAAATACATACTATGTGGGCAGGCCTACAATAGTTGTGCCTATACTGAATATGTACAGAGTTTTTACCCTGTCATTATTTCTGAAACAATACAGTATAATAGCTGTTTACACAGAACCAGAGTGTGATTCTGAATTTATCTGTTGTAAAGGGTTTCTGCATCAAACAAAGCAGCAGCTCTTTTGCGAGACTGTTTTAAAACTACTATCTAATAGAGTAAGTCCAAGCTCCCTAATACAGTATTTCAGATTTCCTACAGTCTGATCACTGAGTGTCCATTCTCGGTACACCAAATTACTTGCACTTCCCTAATATATTCTTTATTTTTTTTTTTAACTTTTTTTTTAAAAGATTTATTTATTTATGCATACAGAACTGGGGTACAGGCCAGAGATGCAGGGCAGTGAAAGGATTCACCAGAGAAAGAGTGGGGAGCAGGAGAAGCCGACTGATGAAGCACACTGCTGAGGGGAGCAGCAGGTGGGTCAGTAGATGTCTGCCACGCCATGTGGGTCACCTCTGGGGCGGGATCGAACTGATGCTGAAATGGCTTTAGCTTCTCAGTGCTGTGCTTTAACCTGCTGTGCCACCAGGGAGGGCCCATATTCTTTATTTGTTAATTCAGTGTCTTTTGACTGTTCTCCCAGACTAAAATATTTTCCCTTACTTTCTTTTGTATTCTATCCCTGCCAGGTGAACTCTTATTGCTTGCTAAGGCTTAAGACAGGCATCACCTCTACCAGGCATCTCCTCTCTATCCAGTCCCTTAGGGAGAGATAAGGTGTACCTCCCTTAATGTTCCAATAACAGATCTATTTCTGTCACTATCCTTATTTTATTAAATTCTAATTATTCATCTGTCTAAGCAATTTCACATAAGTTAACAGTTTGTATCTACCACTCTTAAAATAGCTCCATCCCACAAATGAATGAATATTTGATAAGTTGAGATGGAGACCATTTTAAGCAAAGAAAAACGCATAACATCAGCCAATAAGTTAGCAAGCATACAATTCTTTTATTTTGTTTTAGAACATAGAGTAAATCAATTTAGTTAGAGCCTCGGGAGAAAAGGGATAGAAATCCAAAATATATTATGGCTACATTGTGAAGGCTTTAATACCAGGATATGCATAATTCAGAGAGTACTGGGAAACCATTCAAGATTTCTGATCAAAGGAATGGTAGCCTCTTAATTGGACTGTCTCCTTCCTATATTTATATCATCCTCTTCCAATACATCCTACAGATTAATATTCATAACATTTATCTTTGCTCAAATGCCTTCCTTTTTTAAGTTTCCTATGGTAACTGCCCACTGTCAACAACATCTTAGTGACACAGACTACAGTTCTTTAGAATAAATGGATATCTTTCTTTATTCTACCCAATTTTTTGGTGCTATTTGTCAAATGCCATGTTAACATTATATATTATTTTCCCAACTAAGTTTGGTGTGGAGGAAAGAACTGTTCTATTTGCAATTCCTAACACAGTGAATGTGCGTGTAGGAATGTGTTAGATAATATATCTGAAAGTGGTTCTGAATGAAATATGTCATGGATAGTTTACCCCAGGATAAATAATAGTTGGTTTTTAGCTGTCTGCACAACATCTAACTGTTATTTTCAATATATCTGAATGTAAACACTGCTTTCCAAAAAAAGAAAAATGTTTTGTTTAAAAGTGCACTACTACTACTCCGCTTCCTCCACACTAGCAACCAGTTTTTACTTTTTGGTTATTCATTTATTTTAAAGATTTGTTTATTTATA